CAGGACAAGAAGCAGGTGTGGGGGTCCCAGAAGCGCCAATTGGCAAATCGCATATGGAAGCACTCCTGCAGGGAATGACGCAGTTGCAACAGGCAATGACGATGCAGTTAGGCATGGCAGCCAGCAAGCCCGAGACGATCCGACCCGGAATGTCGGGGGCAGAGCTGCCTAAGTTGACCGAGGCGGACGAGTTTGCAGCGATCAATGTCGGAGACTGGCTTCATGGTCTTTCAGGTCCAATGGGAGATTTGACGGACGGTAGCTCTGGATGGTGGAGTGAAACCATGAGGTGCCTAGATGTGTTCTACCAGCAGTTTGTGCAGGCGTCAGCAGTGAAGAAGCTTCAGCTGAGGGCGGAGGACTTCATGTCGGACCAGCTGAAAGAAGGAAAATGGCTGAGGGTTGACAAGCGGGCTGCCTCGATGTTGCTTCAGACGGTACCGGACACGATCAAACAGGAGCTCTTGGCAAACCGCCTCAACAGCACGCTCGGCATTCTTGGTCGCATTGTGACGATCTACAGGCCGGGTTCAGCTGCCGAACGTCAACAGGTTCTGAGAGCACTAGAGAGTCCCGGCTCGGCGGCGACGCCCGCTGAGCTGGTGGAGATTCTGCGAAAGTGGGCCAGGTGGTTGAAGAGAGCTCAAGATCTCAGCTTGCAGGTGCCCGACCCGAGCATCTTGCTACGGGGGCTTGATGGGGCAGCAAAGACTCAACTGGAACGTAGCAGCGATATCTCCTTCCGCGCAAACATGCTGAGGTTCAGTCTGGACTTGGACACGGCCCCGACTTTAACTACGGTCATGAAGTACCACAACCACTTGCTTGGAGAATATGAACAGCATGCATACCGAGGGCGAGGAAAAGGAGGTGTTGCCAATTCCCTGGCGATTAAGAATGTGGCTGTGGATGGAACAGCCCCTTCACCAAAGTCAGCGGCGGCCCCGGGCGCTGCCAAGCCGTGCAAATTCTACCTCTCTGAGGCTGGATGTCAGAGGTCGAATTGTAAGTTCGTTCATGACTGGGCTATGATACCGCGAGAGGAGAAGACTGAGAGATGCAAAGCATGTGGCGGCAAAGGACACATGAAAAGGAATTGCCCGGTGAAGCAGTACCCTGGTGATGGTGGCCGACGAAATGATGAAGGAAAGGGAGGAGGATCACCAAAGGTTCGGCAGGCTGCAGCTGGGACACAACGGGGAGGGGATGGAAAGAGAGATGACGGCGCTGCCCCTACGAGCAGCTCGGCGAGCTCGATAGCCGGATCCTCGTTAGGTGTTCCAGGGGACACATCGTCAATGGCGGCGTCCTCAACGGCCTCAGCTGGGATCCCTCCGGCCGAGGTCGACGACTTCTTGAAGAATGCGGCACAGGTCTTAAAGATGATGACAGAGCAGCAGGCGAGTGATTCCAAGAGTGGACCCTCAGTCAGAATGCTGAAGAAGGTTGTGGCCGCGTATGAGAAGAAGTTGGCTTTGGTGGACTCGGGCGCAACGCACCCGTTAAGACGGGCGACACCGGGTGAATGGGAAGCTGCACCAGAAGTTGACGTGGTGGTGGCCGGAGACAGTACAGCAAAGATGAGGCAGAGTCGAGCGGGAACTCTGCTCACTCGTCCCAGTGCGGCCCCGGACAAAACCCAAACCATCGTTCCGGTGGGAAGCTTAGTGAGCACTCTGGGCTATGAGATGATCTGGAGTAAGAAAAGATGCTTCCTTCGTGCTCCAGATGGCCGTGAAGTAGCTCTAAAAGTGACGTCAGGGTGCCCGGAGATTGACGAAACCAAGGCGCTTGAGCTGATCGCCCAGATCGAGCAGGAGAATCTACAGCAGCTAAAGCTACAAGTAGAACGCACAAGGCTGGCGATGGTGAGGGCTTCAGTGGTGGAGTGTACGGGTCAACAGGAGCAGAGTCTAGATGATTATGTTCGCAAGGGCAAGTTTGAGGATGGCTACCGGGCAATGGTCATGGCTACCTGGGCAAGGGATCTAGAGAAGGAGGACTTGGTGAAGGCCGTTATGGATCTCCCGGAGTCAGACTGCGAAGCCTGGGACCTGATGTTCAAGCTGGGCTTTAACCGTCGTATGAGAAAGCGGATGATGCACAAGGACTGGATTGTCAAGCTGTACAGCGGAAAGAGGGGGCCGATGGACAAAGTGTTCAAGATGATCGAGAACAATGGCACGGTGGTGTTGGATGTGGATGTTCAGCGCCTCGCAACATTGGACATGATGAACCCAGATGATGGGATTATGAAGTTGCTTTTGTGGGGTGCCGCAACGGGCCGGATCGCGGGGATCATTGGAGGGTTGCCCCAGAGAAGGTCCAAAGAGCACTTGATCCGAGCAGTGGTCTTAGCGGAGGTTGCCAAGGCAGGGCGAGCAGCTATGTGTGGGGCGGTGGATGTTCCAGTGGATGGGGTTGCTTTGGCCTTGTGGGC